GTGCAAATCTCATAGTTCTCTTTTTTTTTTGTCACACAATATATTAAATCAAATATAAATGGTATGGTGATTGTTCCGAAAAATGAACCGGTTTTGTGTTTATATATGTTTTGTAAAGAAAGAGTATATAGAGCCCATATAATAATAACCACTCTAATTATTGGATGAGTTTTAATTATAAGCCTTAAGGTATTGATTTTGGTGGGCTTATATTATGGTAATTTCGTAAATATGTATCACAGTAGCCGTCGTCTTTGACTCCGGCGGCGATGGTGAAGAACGGAGACTATAGAAACTGGGCGGGGCTTCCACCGGATATAACGTCGTCAATCCTGCTCCGTCTTAGCTCGATTGACATTCTGGAAAATGCTCAGAAAGTATGTAGATCGTGGCGTCGCGTCGCGTCTGTAAAGACCCTTCGATGTGGAGGAAAATCGACATGGACAACCTCGGAGACTTGGGAGCCATGAGTTACGACCTCGAGGTCATGTGTCGTCACGCAGTCGATCGTAGCCAAGGCGGTTTGGTCGAGATCGACCTTTGATGAGCTCCTCGATAGGTTCTACTCTCAAAATCACGCTTCTTTTGGATTTAATTAGTTGAATTTGGTATAGGTATTATGATTTATGATCGATCTTAGTATGGTTTTGAGTGGTTGTGAATGCCTTATGATTGTTTTTTAAGGGGATTTTGTGTCACTACGTTTAACTAGAAATCAATTTGTTCCATCAGTATTGTTCTCAATGAGGTTTAATGGTTTTAGGTCTAAATGTTTTGGCTTTTAAGGTTCTTCGTGTGTTTATCTTTCTTTTTCTGTGTCTTAGATTATGTTTTTGAACTTGCTTACGCAGAATTATTTTGTAGGTCGAGTAATCTGAGAACCATGAGACTTATAATGTGTTATCCAGTAACAGACGAAGGATTTGTGGAAGCAGTTGTGAAACTTCCGTTGCTCGAATACCTCGAGGTTTCACATTGCTCATTGTCAGGAGAGTCTCTAGAAGCTGCAGGCAAGTCGTGTCCAAATCTGAAGACATTGAAGCTAAACAACGAACCTGACCCCGAGTTTGATGATGATGAGTGTAATAATGAAGATGCTCTAGCAATTGCAAAAAGCATGCCCGAACTACGCCACCTCCAGCTTTTTGGGAACTTTCTAACCAACACGGGCTTAAACGCCATTCTCGAAGGTTGTCCTCACCTGGAACACCTGATTTACGCAAGTGTTTCAACATTAACCTTGACGGGGATCTGGCTAAGCAACGTTTCGAGAGGATCAAAGATGTGAAACGTCCCAATGACTCAATCGCTGGTCACCCATATGGTACATTTCCAATGAACGTCGACGATCATTTCGGTGGCAGCTACTATGATTGGTATTAGATATTGAATCTCTCTGAACAATGCAGAGAATGTGTGTGTTCTTACTGGCTTTGTCAACTTACAAACTCGTTCATGTCCTCTTGTTTCTTGTGAGAATTGGGAATACTGTATTATTGTTAGCTTTATGATTGTTTTTTGGAAGATTTTGTGTCACTCTTTTTTTACTCAACTCTTTTTTGGACATGAGTTTTGGACATTGGACTACTTGGTAAATAAATAATACTGCGAGGACCAAATTGTAAATTAGAGACTGAAGCGGAAAGGTCCAAAAACTACTTATTTCACTGATTCGACGTTTTGATCCTCAGAAATGGCTTCCTCCTCCTCCTCTTCGCCGTCGTCTACTTCCGTTCCTCCGCCAATGAAACGTGAGAAGCCGAGAAACTGGGCGGAGATGCCGCCGGAATTGCTATCTTCGATTCTGCTCCGCCTTAGCGTGACTGAGATACTGGACAAGGCTCAGAGAGTATGCAGATCGTGGCGACGCGTCTGTAAAGACCCATTGATGTGGCGGAAAATCGACATGAGAAACTCCGAAACCATGGATTACGATTTCGAGGCGATTTGCCGTCACGCCGTTGATCGGAGCCAGGGCGGATTGCTGGAGATCAGAATTGAAGGCTTCGGGAGCGATTCTCTCCTCACCTACATCGCCGACAGGTC